TAGTTTTAATTAATTTATTTCTTCTTTAATCACAGCATTGACTCTTGCCGATGCATGGTTGTTACTTTGCCCAGATGTGTTACTGCTATTGATCTAGGAACTACCGTTGCCTGTGAGCACATATTTTGAGACAACACATAAATACGGCTCCTTCTTTAGAGTGCAGATGACTGCATTCCTATTTAAGAGTGCAGCACTCGTTTTAGATGGTTTATATGATAATTAAATGTCCGCCTAATGGAATATTTAAATCATGGATTATCTTTGCACACAGCTGTAGTTCATAGTTGTTTGTGAATACTGTATATGAGCCCTTTGGTGTTGGTGCTTTATACTTAATGCTGTTTACAGCACTGTGGCTCCTTGCTAATCATTACTTTGGATAGACCAATCAAATTATTTTCTCATAAAGCATTTAGTCAGTTCTCATGTAACGATTATGTTACTGCGGCTGAGGTTTAAGGAGACTACATTCATGAATTTCACACATTCTCAGAACAATACAAAGGGTAACCCATTTAGTAATAAACAATGATAATATCCCTTGAAAATTGGACAGTGGAATGCATTTCAAAATCTATTTCAGCAATGGCAAGGCATGGATTTTGTAATAATGCTGCCTTTTAATGGACTTTTTGTAGTAATATGTATGGCTCACGTTGCAACTAGAGCTCATCTACTGTACCTGTGTTTCATGCTCCAGGAATATATATCAGGGCATAAAGGTATGTTCACTGGGGAGGCAGATGTTGAATAATAATGTGGTTTACCAAACCATGCTGACATCTTGCACCACATCTGTTATGTGTGGAGCAGGCAGATGGTGTCCTTGACTAGAATGGTAATTGAAGAGGTTACAGCGTAATAGCTTTCTACTATACATAAAGTAATGTTCCTTAAATTGAAATTTTAAGATAGAAGAGTCTATTTGACTTGTAGTTGGAGTGTTCAACTGTGCTGTTTTATCTGATTGAAGTGCTGGTAGGTCTTTGGGTTGCATTTATTAATGGTGAGGTTTAGGTTTAAGTAACATTTGAGATTTTTCAAGATTTTTCTTTACCTTCCCCATCAAAAATATATTTTTGATCATGGTTTAAATGGAAATCTTCATTGTATATTGTCTTAATTCAATTAGACAGATTTTATTTCTGGTGATATCTATCTATCTATCTATCTATCTATCTATCTATCTATCTATCTATCTATCTATCTATCTATCTATCTATCTATCTAT